CCAGGGAATTTATATACATCAGACACGTCACATATAATTGAGTTAAAAGACAAGATGTATCTGTTTGAAAGAGATGGAGGTACTTGGATACACACACACAGAGAAGCTGATGTGATGTTACTATGGCCAGCAGCACCACGGGCGATTCCAGCCTGTTTGAGCTGTGAGGCTGCGCTTTTCCTCTGTAAGAGGAGCTCCTGTCCCCAGGCAGAGGTTCGTTTATCTGCATGCTCTTCGCCTCACTGTCCTTCTATTGTTCTACGGGGTTTGGAGCATCTTTGAGTGGCTCCGGTCAATCCTTGTTTACACAACTGGAGGGCGTGTGTGTGGTGTTCAGGTGTGTGGCTCTTACCTTTGGAGAATACATTCTGAAACTCACAACACAGCAAGGGGTCAGGAGTTTGGCTGTACGGTTGCACCACCCCTCAGCACACCCACACTTTATATCAGAGCTTGGTTCCAGTGCAGGATGCTCGGCTTCTGGTCCAGTCCCAGCCTCTCCTGTAGAGAGATCCAGATGGAATTCCTAGCTCCTGGCTTCAGCCTGGCCCAGCTCTGGCCTTTTGGGGGTAACTCACCAATGAAAGAGGTTGTGCTTGGCCCAGTGTCAGGATGCCTGTATGGGAGGGAGTGCCTGGCTTTGAGGTCCAGCCCCGCTGCTGCTTCTGCGCCCCATAACCCTCCCTCCCTCTCGGCGTCCCCTCTGTTTCCCGTCCTCCGCAGGCGAGGCCGAGTTCTCCGCGATCCCGTCACGCCGTGCGCGCTCCGTGCGGCTCTCGGACCTCGGGAGCCTTTCCGTCCTCAGCGCGCTGCGCGGCGTCTCGGCTCCGGGGAACAGGCGGCCGCGCTCCCGCCAGCTCGCCGCCAGAGGACGCCCGAGGACTGCGGGCACGCTGGGCCGGCGCCCCCGCGGCTCCTCAGGCGGCGCGGCCCTGTCAGCCCGGGCAGCCGCGGCCCGACTGAGGTGCTGAGGACGCCTCTGGGCGCCAGGCCGGGGCACGCGGGAGTCGGCGACTCGGGGCAGGCCGGCGCTGCAGCGGCCGCCGCCCCCGGGCGCCCCTGGCCGCCTCAGCTCCCCCGTCGCCTCAGCTCCCCCGTCGCCTCAGCCGCCTCAGCCGCCTCAGCTCCCCCGTCGCCTCAGCTCCCCCGTCGCCTCAGCCGCCTCAGCTCCCCCGTCGCCTCAGCCGCCTCAGCTCCCCTGTCGCCTCAGCCGCGCCTTGCTCTCTCCAAGGTCCGCACTGGACTCGGTGATCACACCCGCACCCCATTCTCTCACACGAGTGCACACACGCCCATGCCCCATCCTCACACACCCGTCCTCACACCCCCCATCCGACACAACACCGGAAGGCTCACGCTCACACTCCGACCCACAGCCCTGTTCAGGCTCACACACCATCACTCTCACACCGCACCCACTTGCACACTTTACACATACATTCACTCGCATCTGTTAACGCTCTGGCGTCCACCTCTGCATTCCCTTACAACTCGTCCTTCTACAAACACGAATATCCTGGGGCTGCCAGGGCCAGCCTGGCCTCGCCCTTCAGCCCTGCCCATGCCACTCCCCCAGCGCACGCCATCCTCCACGCTAACTTCCTGCAGGTGAGGGCGCGCACCTGTGTCTACTCCAGGTCTCTCCTCACCCCTGCATCCACATCTGCACAGGTCCATTTCTCTAGCCCTGTCTGCGGTGACAGCCCCTGGTCACATGTGGCTATCTGTAACATACTTAGAAGCAACAGAATTTGAAACCGTCTTGCTCTGTTTGCTAGCCACAGGTCGAGTGCCCAGCAGCAGCCACACTCAGCTGGTGGCCTCCATGACAGACAGCAGGGAACCATGCGCTTGCATCACCATGTTCTCTGTGGGACAGTCCTGCTCCCAGACAGCACATCAGGGTCCCCAGGCCGTCCTTCTGCAAACAGATGGGTTCCACTCTAAAATCACAGGTGTGGAGTGACCCGATTCCGCAGCACTGGGAGCTCCGCCAGCAAACACATGAGGTTTGCGAGGCCACAGGCAACCTTGGGCCTGGAGCCCGAGTGGGTGTGTAGAAGTGGGAACCACCCCGGCCTCCCAGCTGGGGTCAGCGAGGACGCCCCTCTTTCAACCTCCTCTTCCACTTTTCACAGCAACGTGGATCTTGCCATCCAGCTGGTGTCACAAGAACAAAGCAAGCTTTACACCTGCTCAGTATTCGGAGATGGAAGTCTTTCCGTGGTGAGTAAGGGCTCGCTGGGCAGCACTGAACTGGGGGCACTTCTCACCGAAGTAGACTATTATTATTATTAAATGTTACCCTTTTGAAAGCTAACTTATTGTAACTTTGGAAGGTAGTGGGGGTGGGGTGGGGAGAGATTTCTGTGTGCTGGTTCTGTGCACCAAACGCCCACAGCAGCCAGGGCTGAGCCAGGCTGGAGCCAGAAACCAGGAGCGCCGTGGGGGTCTCCTGGGGGTGAGCCACCCCCTGCTCCTCCCAGGAGTGCGTTAGCAGACCGGAAGGGCACATTAACTGATCTGAAGCAGCCGTGGGACTCGTGGGACTCGTGGGACTTGAGTCCAAGCTGTTGTGGGATACTTTGGGTTAGTTTTTAAGTTTTGACACAGATAAGTTAAAAGGAAAATGCATTTCAGTTTTAAAGTAAAAGTCTGAATCCAGCAAAAAAGGATTCACTTTCCAAACCAGAATATTCCATCTTACAGGTTGGACGCTGCAACATGGCTTGACCCCAATTTATTTCCTTTGTTTTCAGCCATGGAAAAACACACATGGGTTATACACACACAGTCACACAAAAGCACGTATTCCCATGCATGTGACAGCTTGCCAAAGTATATGTTCTCATGCAGATTGAAGTTTTAAGAATGAGATTTTTTTTTTCCCTAATAAAACAATTGCTTGGGAAGATAAAGCCAACAGGTCGGTTTTTCTGGTGACTCAGTTTCCCTTTGTGAGGCTTGTCCTTGCCCATCTCCAACCAAGTAGCCGGGAGTTCAGGTGCTAGGGGCCCTGACTGCTTCCCGCTCATAGGGAGCCGTGCACTGGGGAGTCACCAGGCCTTTCCTTGGGCTGTCTTAACCCTCTGCTCCTGCCCCCTCTCCAGCACCAAGGAAGGGGAGGTGTCCTGGGGAGCCCTCTGTGCCCTTATTGTCACACAGACAGGAGCTGCTACGCCAGACTGGGGTCTGCCCAGGGTCTGACTCAGCAACCCACACCACGCGTCAGGGAAAGCCCAGGCTGCTCTCTGCTGAGACGTCCGGGCTGGGAGGGCCTTTGGAACAGAACCCAGGCAGGTAAAAGAGACACAGCCGTAGAGGACAAATCCAGGGGGCCGTGGGAAGGGAATGCTCCACAATGCTATGCATCCGCGGGGAAGGTATGAGCCATGTCCCACGCTGCTGCTCACGCATGTCCCCAGTGGATCTAACGTCACACGCAGAGAGGGGCGAGGCTCCCAGCACTGCAGCTGGTGATGGGGTGTTGTGGGGCCATGGGGCTGCTTGGGTGGCAGGGCCAGTGCACAGGGGGACTTCCTGGGGTTGATGGAGAGGTTCTCCTTGTGTTTGTGACAGTGGCATGCCCATGTGGCTTGATCAGGACAGGTGTGTAAATGCAGTCAGAGGAGGGTGAAGTGTCTGGGGAGAAAACTGGACCTCCAGAAACCTGATGAAGAAATTCCATGTGCGAGTCTATCGTAGAGACGTAGAGACACTTGTAGTGGCAAAACGTAACTGAAATGACCAGTCATAGGGAACGGTCAGATAAACAGCAGTACATCCATACAGTGGCGTATTACACAGCTACTAAAGGAATACACAGCCTAAAAGTTATTAGTTTAACTTGAGCAGTAGAGAGACAGAGACACGCACAGAGGGACCTCCCTCTGCTAGTTCCCTCGCCCAGGTGCCTGGAAGCCAGTGGCTTATTGCTGTGAGTGGCAGGGGCCCAGCTGCTGGAGCCACCCCCTGGCTGGCCCTCAGGACACAGGTTAACAGGACTCCTGAGCAGAGGCAAACAGGCTCAAACTGAGGCACTGCAGTGTGGGATGCAGATTTACAGAGAGAAGCAGACACAGAAAGATCTTCCACCCGCTGGTTCACTCCCCAACTGGCCACAACAGCCAGAGCCAAGCTGATCCAAAGCCAGCAGCCAGGAGCTTGTTCTGGGTCTCCTACACAGGTGCAGGGTCCCAAGACCTTGAGCCATCCCTCACTGCTTTCCCAGGCCACAAGCAGGGAGCTGGATGGGAAGTGGAGCAGTTGGGACACAAACCAGCACCCAAATGGGATGCTGGCACTTGCAATGGGAGGATTAGCCAGTTGAGTCATCGTGCTGGGCCCCCAAGCCTCATCTTAACTCCTGAGCCAGAGCCTGAGAGGTCAGCCCTGGCCATCTGTCTTCTGTGCACAAAGAGGAGTCTAGGCCATGCCTGCTGCAGTTTGGGGTCACTGTGTGGAGAGCTTGGTCCCTGCAGTCTTGTGTTATTGGTCCTAAGGAGGCAGACACTTGGTCCTACTTTGGCGCTCAGAGGTGGAGCACATGGGAAGGGGGTAGATAGGGTTAGGCTGCTGGAGTGGGCCTGGGGGGGTTTATCTAGAGTGATTGAGACAGACCCTCCCTCTGCCCTGCTTTGCCTGCAGGATGCAGTGCACTCCCACCTGGAGCTTGGCTGCTTAAGGGGCTCCTCCCCAGGGGCTGGGAAGCAGCCCACAGCACCCCCGGGCGCTTTAGGAAAACTAGAAACTTGGCCAACTTGGCACTGAGCTGCTTGGGTTTCCCAGAGCTGCCACCCCATCTGTAGATCTTGGGGTTCACTGTTGCTTTAGTGTCTTCAGGACAAGGTGCCTCAGCCGGCCTGCAGCGTGAGCCCCTCTAGCCGGGCTTTATGACAGTGGTGCTGAGTCACAGAGGCGCTGCCCGTGCCTTCCCCTTTTTCCCCATGGGTGCCTGTGGCGCTCGGGCAGTTTGGCCCTAAAGGGGCTATGAGTGGAGGATGGAGTTTCTGGGAACCAGTCAGACCGCCAGCTACTGCACCCCCCGGAGGATGTGCGCGACGGCGCTGCCTTCCGCGGCGCAGGCGCAGACCCCGGTGATCCAGGAGTGCTACCAGCCCTACTACCTGCCTGGGTACCGCTATCTCAACTGCTGGAGGCCCAGCCTCTTCTACAGGATCACCGATTCGCAGAGCTGCCCCGAGATGTGCCACAGCTCCCTGCGACCGCCCACCATCCTGCCCGCGCTGCGCTCCGCGCTCTTCTGCCGCTGCAGCCCGCGGGACTGGGAAAAGGCCAATGAGCGGCAGATGCGCGGGGCCGAGGCCTCGAGGCTGTGGGCCGGCAGGCTGACCGGCGACTCTCTGCGCCTCATGCAGGACAAAGACCAGCTGACGCGCCAGATGCAGGAAGGTACCACCCGCAACCTGGGCCAGCGGCTGTCGGACATCGGCTTCTGGAAGTCCGAGCTGGGCTACGAGCTGGAGCGGCTTCGCACGGAGAACCACAGCCTGGAGGCGGTCAAGCAGCGGCTCCAGTGCGCGGTGGAGGAGATCAACTGCCCCTTGCAGGTGAGCGCGGGCGTGTGCGCGGCCGCCGGCGAGCAAAACCTGCCGTCGGGCGGGATGGGGACTGGGTGTGCAGGGGCGGCGGGCAGCGCATGCCTCCGCCCAAGATAAAGGTGATGGGTGTGCCTTACAGGTGTTGGGAGCTGCAGCTTCCTGGGCCAGGATACTCAGAAAGTACCCGGAAACGTGGAATGGAAGGGTGGGGAAAAAACTGGGGTACAAACGATTTTGAAATCCATGCAATCTTAAAAAACAAACAAACAAAAACCCTTACATTTTTTTGTTATAACCATTTTGAAAGATTTCCTAAAAGAGCAGCTTTTAAAATAAAAATGTGTTTTTAGTCAATCCAAGATAACCTCAGTCAAAAAGTGGAGGTTGTCAGCCTGATTCTTCTCAGACTTACAGCAAAATTGCAGGGTCTTCACCGACACAGATGAAGCTGAGTGTACACACCCGTGTGTGTCAGGGTCCCTTGAAGGATTATCTAGAAATGACTGCCTCGTTCCTCTCCATGCCTGCGTAGACAGCTCAGGGTGGGCATTCCCTGGCCCTTTCTAGGCCTCCCATCCTCCAGACACATTCTGGACCCATGGACACCGAATGAAACAAATACTCAAAGGGGCATGAACTTCCAACAGGGACACAGAGGAGCCCCTTGTTTTTAAACCCGTCTGCCAGAACTCTCGTGGGTTCCTTGGCTGTGACTGTGTGTCCTGGAGACACCGTACAAGGAGCTGGGTGGATTTTGAGGAGGAGCCAGTGGCGTCTGCCTCATGCCCACACTATACCAACCACATTCCTGCTCCCAGGGGCATGTGGTGCCTTGGAATCTCCAACCCAGAGGCCCGCTCCTGCTCCAGGTCCTCCTGGGAGATGCAGCATGGATTCCCACCATTCCGCAATTCCCGAGCTCGCCCCTAGGATGAGGACCCACTGCCTCCTTCTGAGACCCACAGTGGCAGTGTCTGAATCCTGTCGCTCTTGTGTCCGCTCCCTGGCCTGACTGGAAGGACCTGTGTGCACCTGTAGCCTCCGGGGGATACGGGCACCCCCAGTGTCTCAGCCCTACCTGCATGCCAGCCAGGCAGTCCCTCTTTCCTGAGCTTGTGAGCCTCCACCCAGCAGCGAGAGCCGTGATTGACAGCACTACCCTGCAGTCTCTACCATTTTGTGGCTTCTTGGATGACACCCCAAAGGTGAAGGTCCTAATTTCTGAATTTCTCCACCCCTCCCCACACCATCGTTACAGTTCTTGCTTTACTTTCTCTGCTCCAGTTCTAATGGCTTCCTGTCTGTTCTTCCTCCAACCCCGGGGCCTTTACACTTGTTAGTACCCCGCTTCCTGATGTGTTATTCCCACTCATCTCTGATTCTCCCAATCCAGTATCATAGAGAATCCCTCCTTAATCACTTCCTGCCCTAACCATCTCCACTGCTGCCCTGATCATGGTTCCGAACGATCCAGTCTCTTGGTATGTGTTTTGTCCTTTGGTAGAGCTCAGGCTGGGTGAGAGCTGGGATGCATCCTTGCTAGTGTGCCCTACCCACAGGCCCTTGCACAGAGCATGGCTCAGAGGGGACTCTGCGGTTTGCCTGGACAGACTCAGAGCTCCCACGTGCATCCGCATCCCACAACCCTGATTCCTTCTCGCTCCCACTGCTCTTTGTGACATCACAGCCTGGCAGCCAATCACCATCTCCCCTAGTCTCCAATTGCAGAGTGCCCGGGGCAGCTCCTTCTCCCATGCCCTCACCTTCCACAGCTGTAAGGCCCTTGGCAGTGTAGCAGAGCTGCTGGGCCCTACCTGGGCCTGGCCACATTCAAAAGCTCTCCTCATATGTGGAGGTCTCCCAAGAGGGGCTCTTACACACAATCCTGGGCAAAGTTTGGAGGGCTCCGCATTTGTCATACTGGCATGACCAGCCTGTGAGACCTCAGGATGCTATAACACCATACCAGCTGTGCACCACACCAGATGTGCAGCTTGGTGGAGGAGTGACCCAGGCGTGCAGAGTGGCTAAGCCTGGAGTTGTACTTAAGAGAAGGTGAGAGGCAGATGGCAGCTGAGCTAATTTTATTGGAACTGGAGTGGAGTATTACTGTGTTATAGTTACATGGGCAGGCTTGCTGACAATTATAAGAAGGACTGATTAGCCCTTACTCCTAACCCTTGTGGGTCCCTCAGGACACTGCCTGATCCTGCTTTCACCCACAGTCCTAAGGAGGCAGGGGAGATGGAAATCTGGGAAATAGACTGATGTAGCCACAGGAACTGCCTAGGTTTTTGGAAGCAAGGAAGAGACTGGGGCCAAGGTCAGTGGGAGGTCTACACACAGCTGCAGAGGGAAGACGCTCTGTCCCATTGCCCCCTGCAGGTGGCCCTCGAGTGCCTGTACCACCGAGAGAAAAGGATCGGGATTGACCTGGTCCATGACAACGTGGAGAAAAATCTTATTCGGGTAAGGCGCCTCCGGGGTCTGTCCCATCTCCTGGGGAGTAGCTGGGACCAGGGGAGAGGGCGGGCTGGTTGGTGCCAACTGGCCAGAAGGATTTTGAGCCACCTGGCAAGAAGCCACATATAGGAAGTGAGGGCTCAGGGAGCAAACTGGGTACCTAGGAAGTGGTTTAGCAACAGGGAGAAAAGGGATCATTTGGGGCTCTTGCCATCTCTAAAAGTGGGTGTGGCAACAGTACTCATACCCTCGCCACCACCAAGAAAAGAGCTAGCATTTCTTTTCATTTTTTCTTTTAGATATTTATTTATTCAAAAGGCAGTTAGAGTGGGTGGGAGAAAGACACAGACATCTTCCATTGGCTAGTTCACTCCCCAGATACCTACAACAGCTGGAGCTGTGCCAGGCTGAAGCAAGGAGCCAGGAGCTTCCTCTGGATCTCCATGTGGGTGCAGGAGCCTTTGAGTTTGGGTCATGCTCTGCTGCTTTCCCAGGCCATTAGCAGGGTGCCGGATCTGAAGTGGAGCAGCTGGGACTTGACCAGGTGCCCTAATAGGATGCTGCAGCAGGCAGCAGCTTAACCTGATATGACCTAGCATGGGTCCTAGAGCTAGTGTTTCTGGAGCACCTGCTGTGTGTCAGTTCTGTGCCCCTTTATGTGCATTTGTTGATGGCATGACAAAACAATCTCTGAGCACTCGGTGCCTAGCAGGTGCAACATTCTCTTTCAATCCGGAAGTAAGAATAAAGTCATAAAAAGAACAAGTCTCCTGGGGAAGGCAAGATTCCTGACAAGCTGGACCATGTGGGTTGATCAAGGAGTGCCCTAGTCTTTTCTCATCTGTAGGACTGAGGGTGGGCTGGGCAAGCTTGGGCTCCCACTTGTGAGTTCCTAAGAGGTGCTGCTCTGACATTCTCCCTTTCAGGAAGTAGACTTGCTAAAATGCTGCCAAGAACAGCTGAGGAAATTATTTCAAAGAATTGACATCCAGATGCGGTAAGGACTTCTCTCTGCTCTCCTCGAGGTCTGTTTTGGGACGCCCTCCCTCCAGATCGGGAAGTGGGGAGTTGCAGATGGACTCACTGGTCTCTTGGTGGTTCTTGGGGACTGTGGTGTGCTGGTAATGCTTAACAAGCAACAGTTCCCCATGAAAGCTAAGAATGTCTTGATTTAGGTGGGTCACTGCCTGTGGTGTCACTGCCTGTGCAGTGGCTGCCGTCGGGCACCATGATGGTAGTACTGTGATGTGTACAGTAGGCTCTCATGACCAGGTGTAGCTCTTGTTTACAAGTTCTGGCCAAAGGACACTGGCCTCCCTGAATCCTTTCCTCACATGGCCTGACCAGGTCAGTCTGGGTCCTGGCAAATGGCAGCAGGTGAATACTGTTAGGCAGCCAGATCAGGGCCTGGGGCCTCTCCGGGAGGGAACTGGGGGATGCCTAGGGCCCAGGGGCCTTCAAAAGGAATCAGCTTCTTGGAAGATTGGGTAAGTGGCACACTGACTGGCCTGCAGGCCCCTCTGTTAATTAGAAGGAGGTTGGAGTTTTATGGGGCTTGGGACCATGGCTAAGCTCCTGGCGCTTGGCTCCCTGCCTGGCTCTGGAGCTGGCTGACACACTGCTCTTGGTTTCCCATCACTGGTAACTCTTGACACTGGGACACAGAGAACAGGGTGTGGGCTGGTGACCCTGGCCAGTCTTCTGTGTGGTGGACATGGCCAGAGCCTGACAATCAGCTGTGGGAACTTGGGATCCTGGCAGCCCTGGGCGTTACAGTGACCTCCTCAATCCAGCAGGCCTTGGACACCCTGGAGGGGTTAGGAGTGGATGTACAAGACAAGGGGCTCCCCAGGATAAGAGGGGGAAAGACACGGTGAGTGTTTGGTACAGTGGTTGAGTTTCTCTGTGGATGCCTACATCCCATACCACAGTACCTGGGTTTCCATCCCAGCTCCTCCACTTCCAGTCCGGCTGGGAGGCAGCCAGGTGATGACTTCAGGGATTGGGCCCCTATACCCACGTGGGAGATACAGACTGAGTTCTGGGCTCCTGGCTTTGCATGGAAGAGCTTTTGCTCACACTCTGTCTCTCTCCCTTTGAAAGAAATAAATAAGATGTTACAGACAAGCTACCCAAAGGTCAGATTGCTTGGCCAGAGCTAGACAGCTGGAAGACTTCTTGAAATTACATTTGCTCCGACTGAAAGGACACGTTCTTAGAGCAGCATCTCCCAGTGCCAGCCCCTGTCCCTGACCAGTTGTCAGGCTGCTCCCTGCTTCTATGAGGTCAGTTGAGATCAGAAGGGACTTGCCACCTTCTCACCCTCAGCAAGAGGGTCTTGCACTATAGACACTTAGCTTGATTCCAGGGCTTGGCTCTAGTGTGCGCTGCTGCAGTGAGCTGAGGCCTGCAGGTTCAGTGTGAAGTGTTCATGAATTTCCTTTGAATGTACAGCAGGCTTGGGGTGGCTGGACCACGTGGGAATTCTGTTTCAATATCTCTGAAGAATTTCCACACTGTTTTCCATAATGACTGTACCAATTTACATTCTTACCCCGGGGTGACGGAGGGTAAAAACCAACACTCTTCCCACCTTTTGGATACAACAGAAGCTCCATGAGATACTGGTGATGGCTCATTACACACTTAGCATTTCTCTGATGATCAGTGGAATATCCATGAATATGATGACCATTAAATGTCTTCTCTTTAATTTTTAATTTTTAAAAAAGATTTGCTTTATTTATTTGAAAGAGTTATAGAAAGAGGAGACAAACAGAATCTTCCATCCGCTGGTTCATGCCTCAAATGGCCACCATAGCCAGGGTTAGTCCAAAACCTGGAGCCAGGAGCTTCAGTCACATGAGCCTGGGTGTTACACTGCTGCCTCCCAGGGTGTTGGAGTCTGGACTGAAGCCCGGCTATCAAATCCAGGCACTCCAGCAGGGGCTGCAGGCATGGGACCCTGGCGTGAATGTCAGTTCCTGTCGATTCTGAGATCTGGTTGATGTCTTGTCCTTACACGGTTTGAATATTAATACCTTGTTAGATGTATTGTTTGTAAATTTTTCCTTTTATGTCAGATTTTTCTCTTTGTTGGTTGTTTTCTTTGCTCTTCTTGGTCTGAGGCTATCACTTGTATCTGCTTTGCTTTTTGTTGCCTGTGCTGCTGGTGTTCTAGCCGAGAACCACAGCACAGACTTGTGCCATTTGAGCTTAGAGCTTTTCCCTGTGTTTTCTTCCTGTGGCTTTACAGTTTCCTATCTGTGGGGATATGGCAAAGTAAATACAAGGGTGCAAAGAGAGCTGGGGTGTGGGATGTGGGCCAGCTTCAACTGGAAGCCTGGCCTTGCTTGGGAGTGCTGGGTCCTGGAAAGGCAATGCTGATGCAGAGAGCTGCTGGTGTAGCCCAACAGGAGGGAGAAAGAGAATGGATCTGGGCGAACTTAGGGACTGAGCAGGCAAGAGAGACAGGCTGTTAGCCCATCTCTGTGCTGGCTGCGTCCTCAGCCTTGTCCCTCACCCCTCCATGAGGCTCCGCAGCCTGGCTACTCGGGTAGCTTCTCTGGCACTGGCACCATTGGGCTGTTGACTCAGGAGTTGTCTGGACCAAGGCTGAGGCCTGCGTGTGGGCAGGAGTGAGCTTTTCCTGGTGTGCATTGCCATCAGCCTGGTCCTGAGCCAGGAGGGGGAGTTGGGGACCACCCTGGAAGGCTCCCCCAGCCTTCGTTGGTAAGAACCATGCCCACCAGACCACCTGGGTTCTTTGGTCCCTGGGTCCTCCGACAGCTCTGCTCTCCACACTCTTGTCTTCCATCGTGTTCTAGCTCACTGGACAGGATGGGCTCCACTTTGCCATGATTGTGCTAATGGGGAAGGCCTCAAAGGTCCCAGGATTGTGTCACCTGCCCTAATACATGTGCTGGGACAGTGAAGACCCTGGCAAGGTGTAATCTTCTTCTTCTTCTTCTTTTTTCGTCCTCCTTGATTCCTCAAAACTTTTGGTAGCAACCAACACCCTTAGTAAGAAGAAAGTGTAAATCAGACCACACAAGAAACCATAAAGTCAGACAGAGACATAGAGACAGACAAGGGAGGGGACACAGAGGAACCTGCTAGAAAAGGGACAAGAGAACAACATGAGACTCTAGCTGACATCTGGGTCTAACCTCACCTAGTGCACGCTCCTTCTGTCTGTCTCTTCTGATGCTTCTAAATATTTCAAGGCCAGTGTGCTGACAGAGCTTACATGTCCTCAACAAGGACTGACTACACTCTCTTTTTGGTCATCGTAGAAGCAAGAAAAAGGCCCAGGCCCTGGACTGGGAGCCCTGGACTTCAGTGGGGCTAGTGTAATTTGTGTCTGTGTCTGAAATGATGCCCTGTTAGCAGGAAGAGTGGTTGGTTTTCCTTGAAAGACATGTATGTTTTCCTTTTAAAATACATTTATGCATCTTTTAAAGGTTGTTTTAAAAACTAGTAGGTAATATTTGGCAGGTATTTGATGTTTGGCAACAGTCATGGAAGTGGTTCTGAAATGCCTCAAGTTTGGCAGGTAGTGGCCTTTAAATCTAAGGTTTGTAGCCAAGATGGGAGTTCTCCAGGCTTGAGCCCTGGGCTGCCCTGTGTCCTCATCCTTTAACAGGTGCCAGTCTCTCTACCCAGTGAACCCCACTCTGCCATTCACCCAGCCCTGGCTCCACCCACCCCATGACCACACCAACTTCTAGACTACACCTACATCCACCCTGTAACTACACACAACCCCTCACTCCACCCAGTCTCTAGCTGGTCCTTGACTAGCCTGGCTTTGTGAGCAGATTCCCTTTAGTGTCTCTGTTTTTGTCCATATGATGTTTTCAGCTTGGAATGGTCACTCCCGTGCACAACTTTGTCTATTCCTGTTTATTATGCAAACCTGGCTCAGACGCCTCCCCAGGAAGCCCTCCCTGACCACCATCTCATTCTGAGTTGACAGTTTCTTCCTCGCATTACTCTAACCTTTCCAAGCCTGCATTGCTACCCTTGCATTCTGAAATTTTTTTTGTACTGTATTTGTCCCATTCATAATTTATCCTTCTGTACCCTGCAAAGGGGAGGTGTAATGATTTATGAAGTGATTTGACTTGATAGAGGCTTTGTTGAAGATGTGAATAAGTGCTTTCCAAGTCAGATCAGCAGCCTAGAGTTTGAGGGCCTTGGTATTTGTTCTTGTGAGTAAAGTTTTATTGAAACAAAGCCACACCATCATTTCCATATTATCTGTGGTGACTTCTGTGTGTCTTTGAGTAGTTGCAACAGACAGCAGGGAGCCACAAAGCCTAGAATACTGTTTGATCCTTTATAGTAAATTTTTACCCCTCCCGGAGCTAATGAATGCCTTGAGATCTGTGTGGACTTGTGGCAAGGTGGGGCAGTGGGGTTGGCTCTGGGTATGTGGTGGGGACATTGGGGTAGAAGGGCGCTGGGGAGGTTTGTGTGGACACAGTATCCTTCTGGAAGTCTGGGCATTTGGTTGCAGCCGTTGCTCTGGTGCTCACCTGCTGCGTGACCGTGTGTGTCCTCTGGGTCCATGCATGGTCCAGGAATAACCTTTGCCCGGCAGGGACAACCGGGATGCTCAGCATGCCCTGGAACGGGACATCGAGGACAAACACTCAGCCCAGTTCATCGATGAGAAGTGCTTTAATCTGAGGAACACGTCGGATTGCATCAGCTTCTTCCATGGCATGGAGAAAGTCGACGGCACGTAAGTGTTGGGCTCTGGCCCCAGCCGAAGGGCCACTCTGGGGGGACATCAGGCGCCTGCCAGCTTGGGGGGTATGTGGCTAAGTGGGGTGTCCTCTGTTATAAGCAAGAGAATCCAAGAATTTTGTGGAAGATTGTAAGGGAGCCTCAGATACATAGCAAAGGCCTGGCGAGGGACTGGAAGCTGATCAGGTGTTCAATCCAAGTGCTGCCACCTTCCATCCTTGCTCCAAAGAGACGCTGTGATGGGCTCAGTGAGGGTCAGAGGGCCACTGCCACTGGGCATCAGACCAAGACAACGCTGTGGCTGTGACTACGTGGCAGCAAAATGCCAGCTCAGCTGGGAGAGCATTGGATGCCAGCCTGCACTGGCCATACCTTAGGAGAGTGCACTCTGGAGCCAGGCTGAGTGAGTCACTCAATCTCTTTGGGCCTTCTTAGTACCTGCCTCCCAGGGTTGCTGTGAGCATAGCACAGTGGGCATGTGGCACTGCAGTCACAGAGCCTGGCACAGAATGGGAACAGTGAGTGCTTTCGTCATGGCAGCTCTGAGGTAGGGACCTTGGATATACCTGCCAGGGTTCACCAGGTGCTCCACCTGGTGGAGAGCTTGTCAGACCAGATGCCTCTCCCTGAATGGGCCAGTGAAGGCTGGAGAGAGGAGTGCTGTGGGTACAAAGCAAAAGGGGTGACTGTCATGACCCCCTCTTTCTTTCTACTTATTGTATTATTTATTATATAGAGTATGCACATTCCTACCCAAACTGGTTCCCTCCCCAACATGCCCACATGGCCAGGGCTGACCCAAAGCCAAGGCCAGGAACGAGACACTCCGTCTAGGTCTCCCATATGAACAGCAGGAACCCAATTACTGAGCTGTCATTGCAACAGAGGAAACTGGAGCCTGGGTTCTAGCATCCAAAATCAAACCTGGCTACTTCCATGGGGGGTGCAAGCTTCTTAAACACTGGACTGTCTGCCTGTGCCCGCTTTTTAAAAAAATTTATTTTTATTGGAAAGGCAGATTTACAGAGAGAAGGAGAGTCAGAGAAAGAGCTTTCATGCACTGACCTACCCCCCGGATGGCTACAATAGCTGGAGTTGAGCCGATCTGAAGCCAGCCTCAAGAGCTGCTTCTGGGTCCCCCATGCCGGTGCAGGGTCCCACGAACTTGAGCTATGTCTGCTGCTTCCCCAGTCCATGAGCAGAGAGCTGGATCGGAGGTGGAATAGCCAGGACATGAACTGATAGCCATATGGGAGGCTGGCACTGCAAGGCAGAGGATTAGCCACTGCACCATATATATGACACATGTAAAGTCATTGGAAAAAAACATAATTGAAATGTAAGTTTATTCTGATGCAAAAGATTTTGTTTAAACTCGTGCATTACATGGGAAAATCTTCAAAATATTGTGGAAAATCCATTTTGTGAAAAGAATCATACATGGATTTTGAAGTTTTTGCACCCAAATCAGGCTATTTTGAATGCCGTTTTCCCCAAGGTTCCGAGGTGCCCTCATTGGGCTGCATTCGGCACACAGGCTGTGCAGCTGATACTTGCTATACTGAAGAAAGAATATACTGGAGGAAGGGAGGAGGAAGTCTAAGTTTGGATCACTTCCTGGGTCATAACAAAGGTCAAAGCGCTAAGATGGCCCTTTGAGATCTGCAGCAGTGACCATTCTGGGTCATCCTGCCCCTCTTCCTGAGAGAGTGAACACTGCTTGGGTGCTGCCAGGGTGAGCCAGGCTTAGCTACGGCTGCCCGTCTACCCGGGATCTTGGGAGGGTCATTTCTCACCCAAATGCCTCTCCCAGAAGCTGGCAGCCTGGCTGGCAGGCAGATGCTCTGGTTTCTATGGCTGGGAAGGGCCTGCTGGAAAGCCAGGGCTGCTGTTAGTGCTGGCTGTACATGGGCCCCTAATGTCCTGTCTGCTACTGAGGCCTGGGACCTGTGGGACAAAGGTTGGGGGGCAGCAGGTGCTCAAGGACCATGCCTTAAATGGACAAGTTAGCAATAGGAGTGTAGCCACATGCTTGGCACCCAGAGGAGGGCTTGGGCTACCATAGTGCCCAGAGCCTGCTGCTGGGCCTCTCTGGGCTAATCATGTAGGGGGATGGGGGCAGAAAAAAGAATACTGAGTGCCCTTTTAGAAATACAAAGGGTGGCTTGGGACTGTGGTGGCCAATGTGGTAAGTGTCACCTCCCAGGGGACACTTGGCCATCTCTGGAGACATCTGTGGTTGGTATGACTTGGGGGATGCTGCCATCCCCCTGCCCCACACAGAACAACCCCTCACCTCAAGAATTCCTTCCCGCCTCAGGGCGCAGACCATGAAGACAGAGAGACTGAGGCCTGGGAGGTCTCCTGCTGATCCCTCATCCCTGATCCTGCTGGTCCCTCATCCCTGATCCTGCTGATCCCTCATCCCTGATCCCGCTGATTCCTCATCCCTGATCCCGCTGATCCTCATCCCTGATCCCTCAGCCGCGTCCTGTCTGTCTGCCTTGAAGGATCTCCGTGCCTGAGACCTGGGCCAAGTTCAGCAACGACAACATCAGGCACTCGCAGAACATGCGGGCCAACTCCATCCGGCTGCGGGAGGAGGTGGAGCACCTGGTGGAGAGCTTGTCGGACCAGATGTGGAAGCAGTTCACCGACACCAACCTGGCCTTTGACGCCCGCATCTCCGAGGTGACAGACGTGAAGAACAAGCTGCAGACACAGCTGGCCAAGGTGGGCAGATGCATGCAGGGACCGTCGTCCCTGAGCCCAGCCCTCACCTGGGAGTGGTCCTAGCAGTACCTAAGCACCTTGCAGTCTCCACTCCTGGTGCTGAAATGATCCCCCTGCATCCCACCAGCTGTGGAAAGGATGGGGTTGGGAGCTTCCAGGGGCTCAATCCCCCTTTGCTCCCTGGGCGGCACAGCTGGGAACTTGGTCCGATGGTCACCATAGACTCCAGTAGGCCATAGGGGCCCCTATTGCTTGCCACTCCCCATCTGAAGACCACGTGGCTGAGCATGACCTGGTGTCCATAACACAACCCCCAGAGAACGTTGTCCCTGCCAGACTGAGCGGATCTTTTCTGCCTACCCCAGCTACTTTGGAAATACTAACCTGTGGGTTCTCCCTCAAATATTGCTCCCCCTTCAGGGGTGAGAGCTTTTTTGCTTTGATGAGGCCATGACTTTCTAATTCTACTTCCTGTTCCTCCTGCACTAAAAGCTCTTCATACTCTGCTCTTGGGCAGGAAGTGCCAGGTGAGGAGTGCCCTCTGGTTGCCAGAGGCTAGGCAAAGTGCTGGAACTCAGCAAGGAGCTGTGTGAGCGTGGCAGCCATCCTGTTCTGGTTGGGGAACAGCAGTGGCTACAACATATACACCCAGGAAGGACTTAGAGATGGCAGTTCTGACTAGAGGGTGCTGGGTGGAGGCAAGGGACTGGGCTCGAATCTGTATTTGCAGAACAGCAGCCCCCGTAGATTGTGTTTGTACCTGGGGAGACGTAGTGGGCGGCAGATGAGGCTTGATGGGGCTTCGGGGGCAGCTCACGCTGTCTTGCCTGGGAAGTGGAGGAGGCAGACCAAACAGAAGCTTCTATGAGATAATTTCAAGATGTAATCAGCCTTCATAGAGGATGAGTCAGATTCTCCCGGGGGCCCTGCATTGAATGAAGCAGACAGGCAGGAGAAATTTCCATCGAGAGCAGATTCAAAAGGAGGCATTTGGCAAGGAGTGGTGGGAGGGGCATTGTGGAGCCAGGATGGGGTGGGATCAAGGTGGCGGGAGGGGCAGGGCTCAGATCTTGGGGTCTTGGTAGGCCCTGATGGAACATCTGGTTTGGATTTTGTCCTGAAAGCAGTGGGGAGACTTCAAAGGGTGTTAAACAGGAAAGTGCCAGAATCCAACCTCATGCTGTGGTTCATTTATTTTCCTCCTGGTGGAGTGAGGGTGGCAGAGGTTAAGAGGGGACACAGGGAGAGTGGAAGATGGCTGGGGGTGGCAACAGTGGTGGAGGGGGCCAAGTTGACATGCTTACCTTTCCTCTATCCTTCACTAAACACTTTCCTATGAATCTTCTAGAACAAGACTAGCAAACATTTCTGGGGAGGGAGGTAGATAAAGGGTCCTTCCAGCTTTACAGGCGTGTGGTTCCTGTCACAAGCACTCAGTTCTGCCTAGGTCTTGCCAAAGCAGCCACAGCCACCATGCACACAGACACGCCTGCCTGGGGCCCAGGGAAACCTCAGTTACAACAGTAGGCACTGGGCTGGAGTTGGGTCCTCCTTGCAACTCTGCTGACTCTGGCTCTGGGGCTTAGCTCCAAGGTTCCCTCCTCCAGGACTCCTTCCGGTTCAGTTGCCCACCCTCTGGGTGGACGGCCCCTGTATCCTGGGGCTGTGTTTGCCACAGTATCTTCAACCCCCAAACTGTGAGGCTAGAAGCAAAGACTATGAGGCTGATGGCTTGGGTGGGAATCTTGGAAGACTTTCTTAGCTTGTCTGGGCACCAGGCCCCCCGCTTGTAGTCTAGGGTTAAGGAGAGAGCTGACTCGGGGCTGCCAGGAGGGTCTCTGAGTTACTGTGGGTGAAGCTGGGCCCAGGGGGCACGAGCTGCTGTCCATGTCACTGTCTCCTTCCTGCCTCAACATCGTGGTCCCACACCCTGCACCCCAGCCCGCCCCACCTACCTGCTGCTTGTGCGATCTTTGGGCAGTGAGTGAGAAGAAGCCTCGAATATCACCCTGATGTTCTCAGAAATCGATGCATAAATGAATGCTGTTAATGCCAAATTTCTTTTCTTATTTCTCTCTTGTTTTGTGTCAAACAGTTCTTCTTTTAAATTTTCCTTCTTCTTTTTAAGATTTATTTATTTTTATTGGAAAGGCAGATTTACAGAGAGAAAGAGAAAGATCTTCAATCTGCTGGTTCACTCCCCAAGTGGCTGCAATGGCCGGAGCTGAGCCAATATAAAGCCAGGAGCCAGGAGCTTCTTCTGGGTCTTCCATGTGGGTGCAGGGTCCCAAGGCTTGGGGCATACTTGACTGCTTTCTCACAAAGCAGGGAGCTGGTTGGGAAGTGGAGCAGCCACATGGATGCCAGCACCATAAGGCAGAGGATGAGCTGGTTCAATGAGCATGCCAGCTCCACATACTTCTGTGTTGTGGCAAAATACACATAATGTAAATTTTATATTTTAACCATTTGGTTAAAAAAATCTTTTATTTGAGAAGCAGAAAGGAGATGGGTACTGTCCTCTAGTTTATTCTAATGCTCAAAATCACCTCTGGCTTGGGCCAAAGTCTGGAGTCAGGAATTAAATCCAGGTTTCCCATAGGGATTAGTTCCTGACCTGAGTATTTAAACCAGGCCCTGCTGTAGCCCACTATGAAGTGTTTGTGTTTGTTCATTCAGCTTTGCCTATCAGAGGCGATCCAGAGAAGCAGCCGTGGAATGCAGTCAGAAGGCAGGCAACAAAGTTTAAACAGAAGGCAGAGGGGTTATGGATTTTAACCTCAAAAGGCTTGATATTGCTGAGGTCTCTTTGGGATTGAAACTGCCAGGCAGTCCTTAGCCTTTCCCGAGGGAGGTAGGAAGGCTGTGGAGTTGGGGCATCCGAGCAGTGAGAGCCCCAGCCAGTGATCAGAGGCCCCCAGCGCCTGCTGCCAGCGCCTCTGTTTGTCCAGGGAGGCCTGAAACCTATTGTGCAGTGGGAAATGCTTTCGTGCTTTGCAAGCAGCCGGATCTCAGCCAGGGCAGGGGCCTGCAGCCAAGTGATTGGTAGCTGCTTCCTGAAACTGCCTGGGCCTGGGGCAATGGGGCCAGCTGGCCTGTCCTCCTCACTGGACCACCCTTCGATCCCGCGGAATCCCTGGGAGGCAGTGCCTATCTCCTCAAGCTCCGTCTGTGCAGCTTTCTGACAGTGCCAAGGAGCAGACTCCACAGTGCGCATCCATCTCTGACATCCCTCTCCTGCTAACAAAACCACTCCCGGCCCCTCTCAGGCGTACAAGCTTAGAAGCAGCAAAATTTCATTAGAATTAATTGCTTCATTTGCCTTCTTTCTCTATTGTTAGAGTCTTCTGTCTTAATGGCCAGGGATACTAGTTTTCTATTCCTGGAGATACTGCACAGATTCTGTTTCCAAAGTCTGTTAAAAGCTGAAATGAGAGTTGATATAAAAAAAATAAATAAACGATTGCTTAGACCAGATGTAGGCCTGATGTGGGCCTGAAAGATCACCAGGTGAGGCTGCCTAGGGACTGTGCCTAAGGGCTTGTGTGTAGAATGGTGCAGGTAACCCGGCACAGGAGGTGTGTTCTGGGAGCCTGCCTGCATCGTCCAGGACGCAAAGGCACAGCCATGTGTCCTGATGCAGGGGTGGGACCACGTTTCAGGGAACAGTTATGACCACAGTTCTCACCCCATGTCCCTTCTGCCCCCCTGTGGTCACTCAATGATTGAGTAGCTGTTCACCCTTGTATGACTGTCTCGCTCTCAGCCCTCTCCCTGTCAGGCTGAAGCCTCAATTTCCTGGCACAGTGGTTCCTAACCAGAGGCCATTGGGTCTCCCGGAAATGTCTGGCAATGTGTGCAGGCAGGTCTAGGCTGGTGTAGCTGCAGCAGGGAATGTGCAGTGGGCATTTGTGAGTAGCAGGCAGGGATGCAAATACCTCACACAGCACAGGACAGCCCTACAACAGCGACGACCAGGCCCCATGTGCCAGTGGTGCTGCAGATGGGGAAGCTTCTTATGAAGTGAATTTCAGGTTCCAGCAGGAAACCAGAGAGGGAGAGTGTTTGAGGGGTCAGAGGACTTCCAGGACCCAGGCACACACTGAACAGCTCCCCACAGTGCACCTTGCCAGCCATACTGTGGCTGAGAAACCCTGGCCTCTGGGCATTAGGGTTAATGTATGAGAGAGAGAGGGGACAGCACTAAACAGTTGATGGGTGGACAAATAGACAGGAAGCAGGAAGGTGGAGGATCCAGCTGTGTGGCTGCTGGCTGGTATACATGGCAGGGGTTTCCAGAAGCAGTCCTCACAGTCTCCTTCCAGGGTGAGCCCTGTGATGAGCTCAGTTATACAGGTGGGTTAACCGAGGCTCAGACTCAGCACTTTGCTGAGGCCACAGGCCCAACAGCGGAGGCACAGACATGGTCCCTCAGCCTCTGTCCTGGGAGCCCTTCCTGATGTCCCAGGAAACGCAGGCTGCTGTCTCTCCACACTGTGCACTCTGTCCATCTCTGTGTCCTCCAAAGGGTAGCCACAGTGAGGTCTGCCCCCAACTAAGCTTGGACCCTGTGGTCCTCCACATTTGGATTTTAACATGCATGGGGATGAGTCGCTGCAGTTTAAGTGGTGAGGCCTGACCAGCCCTGAGTCCAGGGATGTTGGCCTATGAGCCACACTTGGAGCAGAGCTGTGCTGGAGGGATTGTTTTCTGTTCTGCAAATCCAGAACTCCCAAAGGTATAGCAGCCTCAAAGGGGTGGGCAGCTTGGAGTGCTTTTAGCAAGGGCTGCAAACCGATGGCCCAGCAGCCAAACCTCTGCCTCCTGCCTGGGTTTGGAAGATAAAGTGAACAGAAAGACAGCAATTCCCAGGACGTTCCAGGGCCTGTGGCTGCTCTTGGGCTTCAGTGACCAAGCAGGAAGGTGTGTCTGCAGGCTGTGAGGCTGGACATCAGGACTCCTGGCCACACGAAGGGGGAGGATTCAGGGCACAGGGAAGC